GCTGACTATTCATACATGACATTCATCTAGTTATTTGCACTATCTCTCATTATAAAACCATTATGATGTACGTTCATAGACACAGTTCGAGGTATCTAGAGGTTAAAGTTTCCGAGTTCCCCGGGGCCGACAGTCTCGGAAGTTGGCTGAGCGTTGCATTAATTAATTTATTATTAATAACTCGGCGTACTCGAGTACTCGCGGGTGCAATGAAGATAGTAACAACTAGGACTTGTGTTGGCGCATAAGGAATTTGTAATTTTAATTTTCTGGCTTTTTTTTTTTTTTTTTTTTATAGAACTTAGAATGGCAAACAAGCTGACGGCCCACCTGATGGAAAGTGGTAACCGTCGCCTATAGACATGAGCAGTACCATGGACATAACAGAGTATACTGTTTCGCCCATGATACCCCCCATGCGTTGCCATTCCTGAGGACTCAGGTGTTATTCCTCTGTACCCAGTAAATTCACGCCATATCCCACCCTTCAAACCGAAACACAGCCATGCAAACACAACTGCTTCACGGTTGAAACGAATGGGACAGAGGTACCCAAGCAATCGACTTTTGTACAAAGTCTCCCTCTGGCTTCGGGGGCTACGTTCAGTTATTGATACCGGTTGGGACTTCAAGTAGCCCATTGTGTCAGAGAATCATAAGCATAATAAGCTATTTGTTAAGTAAAATAATAACTTCGAAATCATGGTAAACATGCCTACGCTAACGGATGACAAGTAAGGATGGAAGCCGAACAGCGATGATTTTCAGGGATACCACCTGGAGGTAGACCTAACAGCATAATAGCAATGAGACTGCTAGTCCTCATTACTAAATCCAATCCCACTCTATCTCCCTTTCCCTCCCCTCGAGTGCTCTATTAGTAAATGTTTGTAGGGTACCAGCGTAGAATATACGTAAGATAACTTCCAAGAGTTACCGGAATTTTTTAACTCCCCCCCCCCTAATAAAATATAACTTCCCCTCTAGCAGGCCATTACGTTAACAAGCTGTGCAATACATAAAAGTTATCTAATCAAAACAAGTGATTAATGTGGGTCTGTCTGTAACGCTCAAAGGCAGTGCAATTTAACTTAAAGTTTGAGTCCCGCAGATTAACGGTCGTCCAGTCGAGGTTCATTATCACACACCACTTTGACACAGTTTGTGACACATTCTATATGACACGTAAATAGAAATAAAAAGAGAAATAATTTTCAACGAAATATTCAACCCATTTAAAAAATGTACGAAGCCAAAAATAAAACAACGAGTAGAGAATATTAAAGCTTCAAACTGATTAATTAAACTAATAAAATGGCAAAATATATAAAAATACAAACACAGTGTACGATTAAAAAAAAAAAACTGGACAGAAATCTAAAAAATGTACAACATACTAATTTCGTCAAGCCCTTAGCCCACGTATACTTAACGTTTTGTCAAAACTTCATGTATATACATGACATATATACATACATAGGCATACATACATAAGATACACATAAGTAATAGTTACAGATAACACACATACATAAAAATTCCACACATACATACACAAGAAAAATATTACCTTCTTTTCTTCACCATTCGAATAATAATGAGAAAGGCTTACGTCAGCACGTAAGGAGTTTTATTCCAGACTTGTCAACATCAATATCGTTGTCCACGATTCCAACCCAATTTCACTCAGTCCATATTACATTACCCGTCAAAATGTACAAACAACGACGGCGTGACGCGCCGAGAATTGGACATGAATGAACGAGAATTTTCCAGAGCACGAAATTTCTCACTCTTCGTGCATTTTCCTTCACAATTTATCAACTTGCAATAAATTTAAAGTGTATACAGATTAAACGGTGACTATTTTAAAGAATTCACAATATGCGATTCTTGAAAAAGTATGTATTAAGGTTTTTTCAGGGTTGGTAACGCGCACATGATACTCCTAGTATTTTAGTCATTCATAGACTACAGTGACCGTTTACCATCAAACGGACTATGTTTGTCTGCCACCATCAAAAATTTGTATAGCAATGTACCTATAAGGGTATTTATTTTAATAAAGCTCCGAGACAATTTACCATTTATATTAATAAATTTTAGATTGGAATTTAAAATATTCGGGGTTGTCTTTACTCTTAATATACATAATTATTTATATTAACTGTAAATAAGACTTACTATAAGGTAAGATTTTATTCCGCAAAAAAATATCTCGCTTCTGTCCATCTTTGTTAATATTTTACTGAACAAGATATCATCCTGCGAAAATTCATATCATTCGTTATTCGATTACAATTATTTTGTTTAATTCAGCTACCATTAATAGGTATGCGACTGTCAATACTCGAAGTTTGACTACTTTTTTTTTTTGTTATTTGCTATTTTTATTAATAGAAGTTCTAAAACCATCTAAATTAGCCATCAATGACCGACTCTCATTTAGTCCAAGCACGTTTTACGTCACGTGTGTCATCTCCTAACGAGACATCTTTCAGACAAATGAATATATCGCTGCTCAGAGCCTAGTGTTAACCGCAATCAAATTGCGAATGACAAATTTTCGGCCGTGTTGCCGTATTAAAAGAAAGGTGTAAATAAATAACATATTTGTTAACTTAATCTTAACTAAAACGACAACGTCTATAAACGTACATTTAAAATGAGAACACGGGATATTACTTTCTCTAACGTTAATTTTGTTAAAATATCATATTGATTGCAAAAAGAGTTAAAGTGAAGACATTGCAGAATCATTGGAGTTAATTCTGAGATGCCGTTTTTCTAAACCTATCTCTTAAATTTTAATTTCATAGATTCTCTATATTACTAATTTATGAAACATCGTAAACAAAATTTACAATATTTTTACTTAAGTTTACTTTACTTTTTAATTAAAAATTTAGTTTATATTGATTTTTAAAATAAAGATTTCGCTGTAACATCAAATTGAAACTTTAAAGATATATTTACGAAAATGACACTTAAAAATCGACCCCATTGAAGTATTTAAGCTTATTTTCCGGAGGAGGGGTATTTAAAGAAGGTGCGTATGTACTTCCCCTTAGCTGAAAGCTCCACTCCTGATCCTGAAATGTTTTAAAAAAACAGCTTAAAAGAACCACAAGCTAACAAACAATAACGGATATACTCGTACGACAAAAATCCGTCACATAAATTAATTTGATTCCTAAAAAAAAAACAAATAAATACTTGTTCTTCGAAACTCGAAATTTTCATTATAATATATATATAAATAAGCACACATTCGTTTTATATATTAGCCACACAAAAACACATCGCTTTTCATGAAAAGCGAGCAAGTGTCCTTTCCGCTGCAAACACGATTTATTTAAGCGGCCGTTTAACCTTTTACTGCATCAACAAAAACAAAACGGACTGAGGGTCGGCTAAATAAATATCTCTGAATTTCCACGGCACAAGAAATGTTCCTCTCAAGTATTTCTATCTATCATGCTCATGAACTGCGCGAAACAGGGACCGCGGGACCATCCATTACACAGTCTGTACTCGGGAGCCAATCCGAAATTCAATTTCCGATATGATACGATCCGCTAAGAGATTGGTGAAATGCGATAGCACAGTTCAGCGATACACACAACATAAATGATATCCACTCAACTCGAAAACGAAACGGCTGTGAAAAGATTTATTATTAACAAAGCGGATAATGAGATATATATTATATGGTTTCTGGCCCATTGACATTTATTATACACCAACCAAGCGAAAATAGATTGTAACCTCTTAGTTCCTAACATAGTTTCAAAATTACGAAATTGTAATTTAATATTTATTTACTACGAAATCGACTTCAGTTCTGGCAAAATTAATAACTTCCACGGCTTCAACTGCGTCAATCAGTATATAAATATCCTATGTGATAAGTTAGAATATAACATATTTATTTATGTATTTACGAACTAATGTGACATCATAACCTTCAAGAAAACAATATTTCTTTTTAAAAGACCGGCAGCTCCCCTGCAACACCTCTGGTGTAGCGGCTGATGATACATCAGGTAAACCGCATGCTCATTAGCCCCGTGTTATAAAAAAAACCTACCCGTATATAAAATTTCATTCAAATCCATTAAGCCGTTTAATCGTATACAGTAATAAACATATAAAGATCTTTACCGACTTCCACATTTATAATATTAGTAAAAGCAATACATAGTAGTTGATGAAAATATTGTATAACATATGTATAAAATGATGTGTACTAGAGGGAAACTTTATACATATAAAAGTCATTCGCTTGGGCACCTCTGTCTCATTCGTGTTTCTCCCGTGAAGCAGTTGTTTGCATGGCTGTGTTTCAGTTTGAAGGGTGGGATATGGCAGTGAATTTACAGGGTACAGAGGAATAACACCTGAGCCCTCAGGAATGGCAACGCATGGAGGTATCATGGGCGAAACAGTATACTCTGTTATGTCCATGGTACTGCTTATGTCTATAGGCGACGGTTACCACTTTTCATCATAAAGGCCGTTAGCTTGTTTACAATTCTAAGTTGCATAAAAAAAATACACTTCAATTAAACATACTATCTTTTCAAAAGTTAGTTGAAAATTTACCATAAACATATGCACATAAATCATAACGGACACTGAATAACGAATGCACGACACTCGACGAAGCTAATATTTTGTCACATGTTCGATAGTTTGGCGTCAATCATAATTAAAATCTAGCCAAACGAATTTATTAATATGGTTTTGCCAGCATGATCGTGTTTAAATTTAATGGAATGGTTTCTGGTTCGTTTCGGTGGTTCGGATTATTACATGATAGATGTAATTATTTATGTCGACTCACGTTATAAATTTGGTGATGCCTGACTAATTTCAAGTCATTAGGAGCCTTCAGTAAAACAATATTTATACAATTATTATTATAGTTATTATTCAACAAATCGTTACAGCGCAATACGAGTATGGCTAAATAATGTAAAGGAGTTTACACGGCTATAACTAAAATTCATGGTGGATCATTAAAAATAAACATCTTTCAAAATACAAATACCCTTGTTTGAATACGGATTTATTAAAAGTATAAACATGTAATTTTACCGAAAGTATAAAATATAAAATGAATTTTACTAATATAAAAAAAAAAACTAATTTGTAGCATATCTTCTACTTTAAAATTTTTCATAATTAATTCATCAATGTGGAAGAGGTTTGTTCAAACCGAAGCATTTGGCGTTCCATTGTTCCTGTCTAGCCTAATGGGAGATAGGCGTGACAGATATGTATGTATGTATGTAATTCATCAATTAATTTAATACAGGCTCATAACTGAGTCATTGTCTGACTCACTTTCTGAATCCAATTCACGGAATCTGTTTCTAAAGGCAACTACATTTGACAATTTCCCTATATACAATGCTGTGACACTTGCTTTTTTAAATTTTATCGACGACCCAGCTTTTGGTGGTCGCCCAGGCCTTTTCCTAATATTCTTCATATTATTTTTAGGTAACTGAGTATTCTTATTTTGTTTATTAATGTAATTATTTTCATTTTTGGCATGTAAATTATTAGTTGAATTTTTAGGGTTTCCAACAGCTTTCGCCGAATCGACATCAATAACATTGTTTGACGTTTTAATTGCACCAATTTCTTCTCTATCGCCTTGAGATAATTTAATCGCTAATACAGCTTTCATGGTTTGCCTAAAATACACATAATGTAATCATTATATCATCATCATCATCATCTCAGCCATTACCCGTCTACTGCTGGACATAGGCCTCCCACATAGACTGCCATAAGGAACGGTCCTAAACCACCTACATCTACTGACTTCGTGCAATGCATTTCAAGTCGTAAGTGACTCCATCTAATGGGGGGTCGTCTTAGACTGCGTTTGCCCGTATAATAATAACAATTATATACAGTTTGTTATATAAAAATATACACTCAGAAAGAATATACATGTGAATGTAAAAGTCATAGCAGAAGGCTTTTACGATGTGACAGAATATTTTATAGATCACTGGAAATGGCAGGCTGACGACCTAGTTGATGGAAAGCAATAACCGTCGTCTTATAGCCTGTAAAAATGATCAACGGTATAGGCAACACTGAACACACTTTGCACTTCACTGCCGCTTGAGATAACTTGCTAAAAACGCATGTATTTATTTATTTTATGCAACTTAGAATGGCAAACAAGCTGAAGGCCCGCCTGATTGACAGTAGTAACCGTCGCCTATAGATATGAACAGTACTATGGACATAATAGAGTATACTGTTTCGTCCATGATACCCCCCATGCGTTGCCATTCCTAAGGACTCAAGTGTTATTCCTCTGTACCCTGTAAATTGACGCCATATCCCACCCTTCCAATCGAAACACAGCCATGCAAACACTGCTTTACGTGTTCTTTTTAAAATTCCCATCCCCTCATACGTACAAACCTGGTCATAGTGACCACAGCACTGTCATTAATAATTCTTGGTATATTCGACGCAGTGTGGCACGACCCCTCACTAAATGGAGTAACGACCTCAAATTCATTGCAGGGAGTCAGTAGATGAAAATGGCTCAGGACAGGCCTATGTTCAGCAGTGGACAGATAATGGCTGATACGAATATTTAAAAATCACACCAATTAACTTCCAATTTTATGAAAATTGCAATTCCGAAAACACAGCTTGTGTTGAAAAAATAGATAACACAAATATAGCAGACACGACACAGATTAATTATTTCTTATTACATCTCAATGGAAATCTGACTAAAGAAATCTATGAGTGATTGGTATGAAAAATTTGTGGCATTATCTTTCCGTTTAGCCTTTCTAATATTATAAATGTAAAAGTACGTTTGTAACCTCTTAACATAATTATAACTTAATTAACTATTATGAAATTTAATATATATATGGGATATAGATTCCCGTGTGGTCTCAGCATAACATAGCCCCCCCCCCCCCCCCCCCCGTTCTTTCCCGTGGGTGTTGTAAGAGAGAGAGAGAGCGAGGGATGGGCAGCAGTGTTCCTCTTAAAACATCAACATCAACTGCACTTGCCAATCCGCCTGCCAAGAGTGGCAACTACTGATAAAACCCCTTAGCCCCTAGAAGGCTTATATTCAGCAGTAGATAGTTAAAAGCTGATATTATAATGATGATGGAATATAGAAGGTTGTATGCTGTTTTTTATTCCGGTCAATAAACATACGGTCACGCAGACGAAACCGCAGGTAATACTTAGTATAGTTATAAAGTACATTTATACTTCGAAATTTATATTTTCATTTTCAATTCTAAAAGCGACGCAAACAACAGTACAGATCATGACCTACATACCTGACGTCATCAGCAGAATTGAAATCGAGCATTTTCAGATCATTCATGTTGTGAGAAACACGAAGTGGATTTACGCTGTCTTCTTTAGAAGTAGTCGCTTTTTCCTCATTTTTATGATTTTTTCCGTCTGCATTATCACTACTGTTGTTAGATTTTTCCATTCTAATGCGTGTAAAATAAAAATAGAAAAATAAATAAAGGTTAAAAACAGTCAGTCAATGTATGTAAAATAAAAATGTAAAATATATAGAAATGAAAACTGTCAGATTTATTATTGACAGATGAAAAGTGTTAAATTTAAAGACAAATATAGATTAAGAATAGTACCAAAACTAAAAACTACATGTAAATAAAAAAAATACACAAAACAATATAAATAAAAGTACACAATTTATCTTGTTTATAATAACGCTTTATTGTTGCGTTATTATAAACGAGATAAATTGGTTAAGATATTGGATAAGATAAGGGTCAAAATACACCTTTTAGTTTTGCAATAAAATCTAGTTTCATCTGTCACTTTACAGGTAGTTATGACGCATCTGTTGATGATCTATGCGAAGGGAAATAAGGATTAAGAGCACAAAGCACTTCAAAATGTCACACATAAAATTTAATTAATCAAAATCTCCCCCTGTTATACAGTCCAAATGTAAATAATTCAAGTGGAGGCAAAGTTAGCAGTATGAGGAGCTCTCAGAGAGCATTTCATTGCGGCAGGTTACGGCTCGCAAGGGAACAATGCTTAATAAGGTTTATAATTTAACGCAAATTCACCTCGCAGCGCGCGAAGACTTATTAGTGGGTGTTGTACTAGCGGAATTAGCTTAAGGTTTACGTGGCACGCCTGGGATCTGCGCTTCGGAGAAATAACACTTCGAAATAACACACGCAAAACACAAACTTATTTGGCTTGCGAAAGAGGTTACTTTAAGCGAAAAAATAAATCTTTAAGCATATAAAAAAATTCCGGGTGCATCCCAAAAAAAAAATTTCTGAACAAATATTGGATTATTCGTGTGACATTTCAATTTCTATTAAGATCGTGTCCAAAAAATAAATCTTGATCAAATTAATACCATTGACCATGACATTAATAAATATACGAGTAACATAAAGAGCCATCAACATCGATTTACAAACGCACGCACACACACGAGCACGCACGCGTGCACGCAGGCACGCACGCACGCACGCACATCCTACGCATGCACAAATCTATAAAAATTGATTAGTGGTGAGTACTAATTAAAAATAATTGTTTTATATAAGTCAGTAGTTATACAATTATCATTGCTACTAGTAAGCCTATGTTCAATTTCTGTAAGCATATATATGGTAATACGAATTGTCTTTGTTCATAAAGACATTTTTACTTTACTTTTAACTTTCTTTTTAATAAAAATAATATAATTTATTTGCCATATATATAATATAATTAAAATATAATATAATTTTACCATAAATGGCGTGCAAATCTTCTTTTAATATAAATTTTACTTTCAATCATTTAAATAATACAGTCGATAACGCACACGAAGTCCATTAAGAAACTCGCAAGTATCCAACATCCTATCATCACAAGGAATATTGGGTAATGCTTCACCAACTGAGCTCAACTATTATCATAATGGAATTGGCTTCAGATGTTTATTCGACACTCGACTTCCTGATCGAAGAGTTATTATATACAATCTACTGGAAATGACACCGATTTATTTGAATAAATCAAACTTTACACTCGAATGTCTATCACTTATTTAAATAAGATTGTATTCCACAAAAAAAAAACCGTTATTTTGATTTCGAAAGTATACTATTGAATCGATTTTGATAAAAAAAATATCTATTTGACTGATCTGTAAGTATATACTTTCAGCCAAAAAGATCATTTTCCAGATCAGTTTATAATCTACGGAGTTATGAAGTAACAAACATAAAAAAATGACCAAATTGAGAACCTCCTTTTTTTGAAGTCGGTTGAAAAAATACTCGTAAAATTGCTTCTGACTATAATACCTTATGACTGGTCAGAGGTTGCTGGCTTTTACAATAAGAGTATAACTTGCGCTTATGAAACTTAACAATGTGGTGAAACTTTTTAACATTTTAATAATAATTATCATCATATCAGCTTTCAACTGTCCACTGCTGAACATAAGCCTAGGGAGGAGGGGGGTGTGCCAGTAGTTGCCACGCTTGGCAAGCGGATTAGCAACCGCAGTTAGGATTTAGAGATATTTAAAGAGGTACGCTGCTGCCCATCACTCGCCCTCTCTTAGCCGCCTCTTACGACGCCCACGGAAAAGAAAGGGGCGGCCCATTCTATGCCGAGACCACACGAGAAATATTTTAATAGTAATTATTGTCAAATTACAGATGATTTAACAATAAAATGAGATTTAGCAAGAAAAAAAAAACACAATTGACTATTACTTTGGGTTCACGTAAAAGACAAGACAGATAAAAGACAACATAGATTAATACGATGCCTGAGAACTCTTACAACGTGTTTTTTTATTTCTAAATTAGTATACATAGTTGCAGTAGTAGTTAATTAGTATACGTAGTAAATGAATCTTGTATATATTTTAAACATGTCCAGCTATTTTACTTTAATGAATCCTAAAGTACTCGGATCTAATTTGACTTACGCCGTTTATACTGTTTATTGCACACTAGCGGCCCGTCCCAACTTCACATGGGTGGACATTTTTACATTTTAAAAAGTGGTTATTGTGACATAACGATAATAGTTGAACATACAGTATCGGGAAGTTTTTTGTGGTTATTGATATTTTCTTCAATATTGTAGAACATACTTTTGTTCTATCACCAATAGTTTCCGCAGCGCACGCGACGAAATATTTTTATAGCATTTTTCACACCTCGAGTTACATTACTAAAGTTTTAGTAAGGATTCCTATACTTTTCTAGCTATAAATATGTTACTCAGGGTGAATATAGCTTTCTAATGGTAAAAAAATTTTTGAAATCAGCAAAGTTATTTTTGAGTTTATTCATTACATACACACAAAAATTCAAATCTTTCCTCTTTATAATATTAGTGTAGATACATCTCCTTCAAAGATTACCCATTGAACAATTAAAAGATCAATAAATCCATTGCCACTGCATCACATTTGAGATCACCACTCCATCTTTCAATAACAAAGTAAGACTAATAAATATTATCTTTTTTCTACTGACATATCTAGTAACAGTATATCATCACAAATACATCACTTCGATTTATGTGACGCGATACAAGAGCCGACTCCTTCATCCTTACAATTCACCATCTCACTACATTTGCTCTAACACTTATTGCACTTACGGCGTTTGGTCGTACTATAAATAGTTTTCCGGGTAAAAAGATGTATATACATATCCTACGTATATGTATATAGAAGGTCAATGTTGTTCTAGAAATGTAATTTTAAAAATATAACAACTTGCCAGTCCTTTAGAATCTTTTTACTGTTAAGCATAATTTAATAACGAAATAATTCCGTCTTCTACCGAATTTATCATGCGGAGTGCTCTAAAGAATTATTCGGATTGATATCTGCTGCTGATTTTCACCATCGTACAACCCGTCATAAACTAAAATTTCATCCCAACCATCTGGACGAGTGGCGGTCCTCCACCGTGTGTTTTTCAAGGCACTTTCTCCCACGCACAACCACTCTTTGGAATCAACTTCCAGCAGCAGTATTTCCGAACCGATACGACAATATAACCTTCAAGAAAAGAGCATATTCCTTTTTAAAAGGCCGGCAGCACACATGCAATGCCTTTGGTGCTGTGGCTGACCATGGGCGGCGGTAGTCACTTACCATCAGGCGAGCCGCATGCTCGTTTGCCCCCTGTGTTGTAAAAAAAAATATACTTAGATAATGAAAATAGTATTTTTAATATCAATAATATAAGAGACGGAATTAACGCGATCATTTAGCTTTGCTGGGAAAATGTAAGAAATATTAATATAACCATTTTGATATTCTTTCCCATATCGATTAACGAAATGTATTGTTATTAAATATAGCAATCTCATAAAACACTCGCATGATTTATTAAGACAGAATTCCACCAAGCCCATATATTGAATGTAGATAATACAACTAAATATAGCAATAGTGGTCCGGGCTCAGATGTGGCAGTAGATTGAATCGCTTACAAAACGAATTTATACAGTAAAAATTATAGCGTACAAAACTCTAGACAAATGGGAACCATTTAAAAATAAATGTACTTTGTAGAGGACTTAAGACATTGAAAACTACTTCGGTAAGACGTTGTTTATCGTTTCTCTTACGACTGTTCAATTATTTTTAACTTAGATTGAGATGTCTACCCTTGTTTTTAAAAGATTTCTTAAGTTTTAATTCCGAGCTGATAAATGAATTTATTTCACTAATTGATATTTAAGCTATTATGACTAAGAGAAACTTGTTTCTTAATTCCATTCAATACGGATTTCTATTAAATTATTATGGTTATACTAATAAAAGTAAAACTTACGATAGACAGGTATTAAATAATGTTAAAAAGTTTAGATGACTTACTACAAAAAAGCGTCTAATGGTTAAATTTGTGTAAATAAAAAAAATATACAGATAAAATTTTAGTATTATAATAAATTTTTGTATAATAATCTAAATAGACGTGGCAGATAAAATTATTAATGAGCGTTATTTCATCGCCTAAACAATATTTAATCACTTAGAGTTTTGTTGAATCCTGTTTAGATAGGTAATGTTTTAAATTATTTTTGTAGTAAGACCATAAATGATATAAATATTGCCAATACTGTAAAGGGAGACGTCCAAGATGTGCAGACGGTATACTTGCCGCATGAGATAAGTTATGAAAGTGGATGAAGCAATAAAAATAGCTATATAAGATTACAGCCTTTCAGCACTCTCTTGCATATGGACCTTCATAAGGATGACGAACTTGGTATGAAAATCCTCAACATCGGTAACATTAAAAGAGTTTCAATAGCAATATCATAGTACCAGTTCTAGTTGGCTCAGCGGGTAATCTTTTAATGAAAATCCAAATCCATGTCAGGACCATAATTAACCTTTTTATATTATTCAAATATAAAATCTTTATTTCTTTATAACATACTTGCACGAGTGATGTGGAAATCAATAACAAATCATTACTGAAAGACACATCATCATATTCAAATCAATACAGATTTCTTTC